TTTATCGGACCTTTTAAGGTCGTGGCCAGGCTGGGCCTTGCGTATACGCTTAACCTTCAAAAACGGATGCGCACCCATCCGTCCTCCCGTTCTCTGCACGGCTGTGGACGAAGATGTCGTCGAAGTATGTCTGTGTTTACGCCCGGTGGGACCTGAACAACTGCGTCACAAGACAGTGAAATGTTGAATGGTGCAATTGACAGCCATTGAGGCATCAACAGCCACTCCAAGAGCATGCAACTCGGAGAACTTACTGCTGCCAGCGGAATATCACTCGCTCTCACGAACAATTGGAAATACCCATCGACCAAGTCGAGTGCACTGTACTTTGTACATCCAACCATGATGTTCTGGAGAAATTGTTCTTTTGAGAATCAGCTTCTGTGCCGGAATCTTGGCAGCGTTGAGCTTATTGTTAGCGTGAACGATACTCCGGTTGCCTTTCGGCTTCCGGACACAAAACGTGGGTGTCGAATAGGCAACCTTGTTCTCAAGCACCATTCCTGCGTCGTGCCTTGCCCGGAAGAAGGTGTCAATGTCGTTTACTCCCATTGGGCAGGCCATTGGCGTGTTACGCACTATTTGGCTCCCGGAACCAGGTCGATATCATGGCGCACACCTCAGTCCGGGGGTAGGATCGATGGCGGGTCTTTTATGAAGACGTCTTGAAATTTCTTCACCAAAGAATAGTCCGGATCCGAGGGATTCTTCGAGATCGGAGATCCTCTTTGTGCGATCAGCACCCTCTTTTTGTCCTTCAGGACAGCTCCATCTAGAAGCGACGACGAGTTGATCTCCTTTTCCGCTCGTATAATGACCACATCGGCTAAGTCTTCTGCCTTCAAGGTACCGCCGAACTATTTGGAGGACACCTCGTCCAGCTCAAGGAGAGCACCACAGCAGAAATAGCCTCGAGGGTGATGTCGCGCTATCGTCCACGGTAGATTACATTCGGCATCGCTGCCTCTTCTCTATAGAGGTTTTTACGTCTCGTCGAGACTAGCATGAACGCGCACTCAGCGTCGTCCAATGTATGCCCCACCTCCTGCTCAATCGGAGCCTTGATGTTATCAACAACATCCGACGAAGAGCTGCTAGCTCAGCAGTCTTCGTCCAGTGGATAACGTGCCACTCCACGCGCATTTAAAGGACCTTGCCCAAGATGTCTTGAACCTCGTCCGACCATGCTACTCGTCGCATGCAGCAACTTTATCGAAACGTGAGGAGCGCTCTGTGGGTTACGTGCAATTTCACGTTCAACCCGTGAGTTATGCTCGGAACTCCTTCCTATCCGATTAACCTTTAGTGCTTGACAAATCAAATACTCCGATCTCCAGCACGTTGACCGTCTCGGTCTACTGCCCGCACCAATAGCTTTTTGTCTCCTAGCAGACGTGAGTTCATGTCTCACCAAAGCTACACCAGGAGATGTGCGCGTAGCGCCCATGGTATATGACCTCCAGTTGATCCATGGCTCATAGTGTCCCAGTCATGCCATACCAAGTATGAGGACATACCTTGAATCCAAGTCTAAGATTAAGCAGCGTTACACGCTACCATATTTTGACACCGAGATCCACAGGTATATACGGCACCGTGACGCATGTCCCCATTGCTAAGCGAAAAGTGACTCTGTCATTCAACCATGCCGTCAGCACCTCAGCATACAGCTGACTTCCTTATATCGTGGAGTGTCGAGCGTAATTGCACACGTTTCGGAGTTGATCAGGATCTTCCATGCTCTTCAGGGCCGGTTCCACGACCAGCAAGCCCGACTTGCATACACGTTCCGCGTTCAAGTGCACGGAGCTCCTCGGGGCTGGGCTCAACTGATCTGTACCTTCTTAAGGCTTAATAGAATTCAAAGCCTTCCCCAGTAGAGCGCCCCGTGCCTACTGGGTTTTGTCATTTCCCCGTGGCAAACTTGATGACTGGTGAGAAGCGAGACGTCGGTTTGATGGACCTTGACGCGCCTTGCGCAGGGAACAACCAGTCCAAAGGTGACGGGTGTCTCTACAGAACAAACACCGTCGCGTGCTGCTCGGCAGCTCGCAGCTCTGCCTCCTTGTCCTCAGCATTGGCTGAGTTCCATCGGCTCATTCCGCTCGACGAGTTGCTAGATTGTGCATTCCCACCAAGTCGTGCCAATTTAAAGTTGAATTCGGCATTCAATGCCAAATTCACTAATGCACATAAAAGACTTCCATGCTGTCCACACCGGTGCGGAGGGCTCTCCATAAAGTTGGTCACTGTGATTGCCTCGGGGAGAGGTTGGCTGCCATATCGGCAAGCAGAGAACGCAGCTCTTGGACAAAGTCCACCAATTACTTCTCACCCTGTCGAGCGGCAAGGAAACGCGAACGCATGCGATATGGCTGGCTAGGCGGCGAGAACACTCGTGATTGCTGCAGCTTCAGCTTTATCCAGGATGGAAACGCCGCTTCGACCGAAGTACCGCATGTCAGTGCCCGTTCTTGCGCTCACCGAGCTTAGAGATAGCTTGCGCCACGCACTGTATTTCCATCGGGAGCATGGCGGACGCCATGGCCGTCTCGACTTCTCTCACTCAGAGCAGGAGATTCTCTTCATTCTTGCCCTAGAAGGTCTTTACACTCATCATGAGCAGCCTGGCTCGGAGGGGTCATTAATCGTCGACGGTGGCGTCAAAAACGCAGTCGACGCCGACATCTTCTGCTGTAGGTGCTCTATCAGAGTATTTTCATAGCTTGAATACCCCTTTAGGTACGGGCTGATCGCTTCAGGTCATTGCGAAGCGAGGTGTTGCACGCCATCAGGGTTAGGCAAAGACATTAGTTTTTCAAGCCGTACTGCATGCCTTGGGGCAAATAAAAGAACGGCTCCATGCTTTCAGAATGTCAGTCATAATGACTTAATGTAAATTGACTACAAGTGCTACCAAGTGCGGCGAGGCCGCCGTAGCTCTTTCGCTTAGAATATGCTTGGTTAAGGTCGGCGACCTTCGTTATATACTTAGAGCCAGTACGAGTGTAGCGGATCGCAATCCTCTTACTACAAGAGAAATAACAATCTTAATCCAAGGCTAATCGATTCTTCCGTTCAAATCGTAAACGGCAAAGCCGCATATACCGAAAACTATAGGTTTTTTATAATTAAATAGTAAAACTTAACTAAATGTAGACTTCTTGTTTAAGCGAAGTCACATGATACCCTTCATACCAGGGCACGTGAAACCCCATTACATGTGCATCGACGTTGACCATATCATTTCCTTTTTGTATGTCATCGTTCGCTCTTGGGATGGAGCCCGTACCTTTGTTCCACTAGTCCAAAAGTGATGGAGTACGTACGCCACAAATATTTTGTGCTACCGCAGATCAAACATCGGTAGGTATTCTGAAGTTGCACAAGAACAAACTGGTTCCTCTACTGCAGCTTGTATATGTTTCTCTTTCTTCTTAGCATAAATAAGAGTCACTGCCTCTGGCGTGCTATAGAGCCTTACCTTCTAGTACCCACTGCATTCAGTGCGATACTCATAGTTTTCTCAAAAGTGGCAGGATGGATGATGGAAGTCTCTGCGCGTACCACACCCTTTCGAAAACAATCAACAAAGATGGTAATTGTCTTTTTCGTCAAAGAAGGAGATTGCGACAATAAAAGATGTTGACTCTTGGATATAATCTGTTAGTTATCGCCTTCCTTGGCGGATAGCCAGAAACTTTGAACGCGACCTATACGCTTGGTTATGCGGTGCACACCCTCGCGGCATCTGTCGCATTAAATCTTCCCGTGTTGAGAACCCCCTTTTCCACGGTGTACTGCCATTCTCACGCGCAAATCTCCAAATTAAAGACCACAAGCGCGACGCGCTGTTAAGCTACTTGTATTGCGGCTGATTTTGGTCATCTCAAACAATTTATCGTAAGAGAGATATTATGAGGCCGCTTATGCCGAGCCGACCCAGACTCTCGGCATAAGCGGCCTCATAATGTGTGTGATGTCATGCGTTTTCAGACTAGCAGTTGAAAGGATCCTTGAGGTCGGTCATAAACGTATATTTTTCTTTGCTTAGAGATGATTTCAGATGAGCAATTACAGATTTATCCTGGCCCTTCAACTGCCAATTTTCTGATCCTGTGAGGACCAGCTAAAATTTTGCTTCGGATGCATGTACTCGAACATCTCATGTTATATTCTCACAGAGAATACAGTCAATCGTGGAATTGGCAGCGAGTTTAAGGTGCAAAAAGGTGCAGTATGCTGTGCACTGAGATAGCTTCGACTCACGAAGTCCGCGTGACAAACGGATAAAGACTGGGCTCGTACGCTTCAACCAGGAGTGGAACCGAAAGCCTATAAAGTATATGAGTCTTAAAATTGACATATGATTCTATTTACAGTAGTATTAAATATATTTGCCTTACAACATTTCATTATGTACCTTTCTTTATTGACGTCCTGCGAAAGGGAGGGGTCTGTGGTACATTTGCGCTGCAAGCTTTGTTCTCTCCCTTCCGAAATCCTATCATCTCTGTAAATACCGATACTTCAGGTCTTACACATACCACAATATCAAAAAAGTGTAAATAGACTTTGTACAATTTTATACTTTGCTCCATTTTACAAAAGTGAAAAGTCAAATTCTTATCTCGTTTTTATGCTGTCTTTGACTATCTCAATTCGACTAGCTAGCTAACAGGAATCCACAGCATCATCTTGCCTATCACCCATCTCTTCTTTTTCAGTCCCTCCAAGTCAATGTGAGATCTCACGTCGGAATCCCTTCTCTCTATTATTTTCTTCTGTACTTCCTCACAGTGGCACCCCATACTTTCAAAAGTAGGACCCTCGTTTGCTTACTGGCACTAACGCAATCGCGGTGGTGTGGTGTTTCAATAAGACCGTGTAGCGTTTTCTGAGGCTTTAAAGCGCGTCACCTTTTGCAAGTAGAAAACAATTTTTGCACTATTAATACCGGTATTACACAATTAATTCCTCCACGTTGAAAGATCCACGATATGGAAGAAATTGGTCTCCCCTCCGTGGTGGAGGACGAGGAGCCACTGGTGCCTGTTGCCATCGAGACAAAGACAGATCTGTATGTTAAGTTCAAGTCTTTGGAGCGTCATCTGGAGTTTCTAGACATCCAAGAGGGCTATATCAAGGACGAGATGAAGAATCTCAAGCGCGAACTTATTCGTGCTAAGGAAGAAGTAAAGCGTATCCAGTCAGTGCCATTAGTAATTGGCCAATTTCTCGAAATGGTGGATGCCAATTATGGTATTGTGGGCTCCACAGCTGGTTCCAACTACTACGTGCGCATTCTAAGCACGCTGGACCGTGAGCGGCTCAAACCAAACTCGTCTGTAGCCCTCCACCGCCATTCACATGCTGTCGTGGATGTGCTTCCTCCCGAGTCGGACTCTAGCATTCAGATGATGCAAATGTCTGAGCGTCCCGATGTATCGTACTCGGATATTGGCGGTATGGACATACAAAAGCAGGAAGTGCGCGAAGCTGTGGAGCTGCCTCTGACCCACTTTGACCTGTACAAACAAATTGGTGTGGATCCACCACGTGGTGTGCTTATGTATGGACCTCCTGGAACGGGAAAAACGATGCTGGCCAAGGCTGTGGCTAATGCCACTACAGCCGCTTTCATTAGCGTCGTAGGATCTGAGTTTGTACAGAAATATTTGGGAGAAGGACCGCGCATGGTGCGAGATGTTTTTCGTCTCGCCAAAGAAAATTCGCCCGCTATTGTTTTCATCGATGAGGTGGATGCTATTGCTACTAAGCGTTTCGATGCACAGACAGGAGCCGATCGCGAGGTGCAACGCATCTTGCTGGAGCTACTTAACCAAATGGACGGGTTCGATCAGGCTACGAACGTCAAGGTTATCATGGCAACGAATCGAGCCGACACACTAGACCCAGCTCTGTTGCGTCCTGGCCGGTTGGATCGCAAAATTGAATTTCCGCTGCCTGATCGTCGGCAAAAGCGTTTGATCTACCAGGCGTGTACAGCTAAGATGAATCTCGGGGACGAAGTGGACTTAGAGGACTACGTGAATCGTCCCGAGAAGATTAGCTCGGCCGACATTGCATCCATCTGCCAGGAGGCAGGTTTACAGGCTGTGCGCAAGAACCGATACGTTGTATTGCCAAAAGACTTCGATAAGGGTTACAAAAGTGCCATCAAGCGAGCAGACACGACATTTGAATTCTATCACTAAGAACGATCGAACATTGAAAGAGGAGGTTTTAGTGAAAGTTAAATTTGTTGGCGGTAAATGGTTTCTTACTATCCTTAGTTCATTCTGTATGCAATAAGGCTTCAGTAATATCTTGTAAGCTCTTCAACGAGTTTGCTCTCTGCCTCGTATAGATTTCGTCCTACGATACGGAGCGTTACAGTACAAGCACGGCCACACATAGGCTAATTTGTACGTACTTGAACTTGCAATAGCTTGTCCTTTAAATTTTGCTCAAGTTTGAAAAGCTCTTCCACTGACGAGAGCTCGATGGAGCGGGCTAAAAGCCTGTTATTAAACCAATGGCCATGTCTGAACAACCAAAGCAATTGGTATTACCCTTAGGTCCTCGCAAAAAAAGAAGCTGCAAGCTAATTACGTACTGAATGACGAGTGATTCGATGACTGGGAGTACGTTTGTGTCGAGCTTGAGCTTGACAAGCTCAACGAACGGTCGAATGAAACCCTCCAAAAAAACATGCCTGAACTACAGAATCTCTCAGCGAGATTTTGCGTAGAAAATAAGCCAGAAATTTGAAACAAATGTTACATGTCTGTTTGGTGTTAACAACAGCCCCAGCAGGAGGCACTTGAGAAAGAAGTACAAGGGGAACCTAACAGCTAAATGTTAACTGGAAAAATGGATGAGATCAAGAATTAAATACCATGATATAAAAAATTCGATGTATTGCTGATATATTGCAGCCGCTGCCAGGACGATCCTTTGTTTTGAGTAGAGTGTAAGCAGTGCACATAGCTATAAGAGTAAATGATGACAGACCAAAATTCAAGCACAGCAGCGAGGGTGTCGATATCCAAGCCTTTTTCTTTCCGAGAAAGAATCTTAAGCGAGTCATAGACCCCTGAAATCACGCCTCCACATCTACAAAAAAGATTCAAATGTAGATGGATACATTTGTTTAGAATCGACAGCAAACATAGAGTGTGAGACTCACGTGAGGCATTCACTAAGCAGATAAAATGTCATATTGGCGGACGGTCGCAGAGTGTGCTGCACACAGCAATAATAGAGACAACGAATTGTCAAAAATAGATCGCTTCCAATCGCTGAGCATGTAACAATCAGCTGAGCCGATGGTTTTCGTATGGGATAAGATACGATTTTGGTTGGTGTATGGTCTAGGCCGTGCAGTAATAATTTATGCGGCAATCACCCGCGGTAAATATGATTTTCTTCAAGTGAACTTTGATCGCTCGAAAGGATTTGGACGGGGTTTTACGGGATTTCCAGATCAACGATAGTGATTTTTTCGTGCCGATGATGTGACTTACATGGCTATCAGTCATGTATTTTTCTTGGTTTTTCCTATTTGCATCAGATTGCAACACAACATTCGAAATACTAATGATCGTACTTGTGTTAAACGACCACTTTGCACAGTCAAAAGTTCCTCACTAAGCCTCGAATTGTGAGCTGTCTAACTATCACAAGCCAAAACGCTCACAGAACTGTATGAGGTTCCCTATACTACTGTACGATGCGTATGCACAAATCACACCTTTGTGCTCCTGGTTACCATAGTACAAGGACGATGGGTGCAACGGGGTTGCCGTACACTATGGACAGAGAAGGCTTTGAACATTTGTTTTTTTCTTGACGTAAACTTCATAAATATTGAAATATCAGACTTAGAGTATTCATAATCAGACCAAGTAAAATGTACCGTAATACGATTGTACAGTATTTAATGAATTACACAAGCTTTCAGAACTTGCCACTAAGATGTGATCACACTGGGTAATACTTAATTCGCCTTATTAAGCCACTGCGCAAAATTGATATGCGTATGAATTTGCAAGAGGATGATGCAGCGGGGCTGCCGTAGCTCTTTCGCTTAGAGGAAGTTAAACTAAGATCACCGATCCTCGTTCTATACTTGGAACCAGTACGAATGGTTGTGGTCACTCTTGGGTCCGCTTAATCCAAGAGTGACCACAACCTTAATTCAAGGAAAATAAATTCTCCCGTCAAAATGTTCGTTGGATTTCTTTGTTTTAGTTGCGGCAAAGCCGCCTGCGGCGCGGCTGCCGTAGCTCTTTGCTTAGAGGAAGATAAGCTAAGGTCGCCAATCTTACCTCCTACCCAGGAGCCAGACGAGTGTAGCGGATCGCAATCCGCTACATCCAAGTGCTTAAACCTTACCAAAGGCAAACGAACACTTCTGTTTAAAATCGAAATTGTATCTAATTGTTTTAGTTGCGGCAGAGCCGCCAATATTTAAAACCTTAGGTATTCCTGATTAATATAGTAATACCTAATTAATATAGCATCCCCTAAGTAATATAGTATTATGTTTACTTCCGGCAATCCTGCCACGTGGTGGCTTTTTGTTACCGTGTGACCGCACCACTGTGTGATTACGCCAACTTGTGTGATCTACACCGATGTACGGGCACACAATCATGAGCGACCCGCCCTTTCATAAAAGGGCACGTGTATCCCTGTTGCACTCTCCCATTAAAATCGTGAATATCCCCAATTCACATTTAACGGTCGCCTCATAAGAGGCGAGCGTGTCTGAGACACCTTAACGTTCTTTAAGAACAATTTTAAACATTATCTGCTCTATAAGCCCTGTGTCTCCGACGCGCAAGACACCCAGCCTAGCTGGTAGCGAGGGCGCCCGCGGGCGAAGCCCTTCATCTTCTGCACAGGGTGCAGTACGTCCGCGTCTTTACGGGAAGCACATCCCAAGCCCTCGGCAACTGAGCGCAACACAAGCGCACGCCCCAGGCGACAATTTTGGAGTCGAAGAGTTGGTGGAAGTCGACTACAAGTCGGACACTCCCTATCCGGCATGGAATGACAAGAAAGATTAAGTCACATCACGGCGCGATGTGAGTCCATCTCGAACCTTGCGGACACCATGTCCATTCCCTGACCTCTCGGCCTCCAGGGGAAATGGTATTATTACCAATCGTCTCGACGAGGCGCAGGAGCCGCAATTGGAGGCTGCTCACAGGGCGGCTCTCCTGCGCTCGTATCTACGTTCGGTCTTGAACTTCTGTGGAATACGGCTTCCTCTCGACGGATCCTGATAATGAAGCAAAGGACGCAATTAATCGATCGTCAGGCGGTTACGTAGTCGGGTCCCTGGCCACTACACAAGCTGAACTTGATCAGCGGAAAGCTCTACGAGCTCTCTATTTGACACCACAAAAGATCACAATGAATTAGTACCGCGCTTGACTTCAAGCTCAGATATAGTGCTACTGTTTTCGGAATGCGGGCTTTTCCTGTGGTGCTCGCCCCTGGCGAAACCGCTGCAGACGAGAATGAGCTGTTTGCGATGGGTGCAGCGGCACCGAAACCTTTCTTCGCTGTCTACCTTACAGCGAAGCCACAAGGACGTGGACGTGCGCGTTGAGCGCCATTTAAGTTTGCCAAACTCAAGGCCCAAAGCCGACCTCCTGCGTATTGTCGCCCGGCGACATATGGAACAATTTTTAACGCTCACGCGAGCTCTGTAGTTTCTCACACGGGTGTTTTACGATCACAGCAGCTCAGGGCCAAAGCTTGAGCTCTGCTCATGGCCCTCCGGTTTCCCGCGCTACTGCCGAGAAGCACGGTGCGCATGATGATGCGAAGCGTCATGATCCTTCCGATCATAAGCGTCCATGAAGTCTGGGCAGTCTTGCCGAAGTAGCACCTCAAACTCCCACAAATTCTCGGAGTTTGGGTATTTACACCACTTCACAAGATATTGGGCTAAACCCTCGTCAACGACGTCGACCCACAAGGCGTTTCACGCGGTAGTGGACGCCAAAATTCTCATCGAAAAGAGTCGGCGTCAGGCGATAACGATTTGGTCGATCGCCGTCCGCTGACTCGCGATGCTCTTCGAGCGTTAGAGGACAAAGTCCGTCGTCATCGGCACTCTGTCAAGCATCTCTCCGAGGTCGCTCACCGCTGTGTGGAAGCCCTTGAGAGCCTGACACTTTTGTGCACCGACTGCCTCGCGTTGAGGATTATCGTGCTCTGACGGAGCGACTCCTAGCAGTTGAGCAGGTGAATACGTCACTTCGTGTGACGGTGGGGCGCCTTGGGCCGTTGGAAATGGAAGTTGCTGCACACTGTACTCAGAATCAGTTGCTTGTTCAGCTTTTTTGTGGGCGAACGCCTTTGGGCGGCGCCCTGGCACCAACGCTTCCGCGTTCACTTGCATTGGATCCAGGTACGGCCTTAGCATACCCACATAAAACACCGGGGTGAGTGTGCATCCTTTTCGGAAGGGTTAGCGTGTACGCTATGCCTCGCTTGGCCACGTCTTTAAAAGGTCCAATACACCGTGAATGGAGCTTCATCTTAAAGATGCAGGAACAGAATATGTAGGAAGGTTTTTGGCATTTAGTAAAGCCAGTTCTACGACCTCAATGTTTTCAACATTTCCATTCCTCTTCCGTCTGCATATACCTTTTGCATGTCTTGGCTTTCAGCCATCGCATCGTGAACTCACCTAGTCTGGTAGACAGGGAGTCCTCGACTTCTTAAAGCACAGTGAGGGGGGTGACATCAGCTAGCCGTTCGACTATTCATCCTTCGCCAAGCCCCAAGCCATGGGATGGCGGCGTCAGCGGGACGCGAGGAACACCAAGCCCGTTCACGTAGAATGGCGTGTAGCCGGTTGATAAATTCAATGTAAAGTTTACTTTGAACAATTCAGAGTAAACTATACGAGTGGCAACATAGCGCTCAAGCGCCTCGGTGTCTCGGCGCAGACGCTGCAAAGACCGTCCTCAACGACGCCTTTCACGCGCTCAGTCAGACCGTCAATCTGCGGATGGTCCACTGTTGACATAGTCAACTTGGTGCCCAGCAACCTGAAGATTGTAGACCAAAAGTTCCCAGTGAAGCGTGGATCTCTATCAGAAACAATTGACTTCGGGAGTCCATGATGTCAAAAAACACGATCGACAAGCAGCGTCGCTGTACCCACACCGTCGATAGTGTCGAGCACTACCGCCAGATGAGTCATCGCTCAATCGGTACACAAAGACCACTACACCCGTATTGCCTGTCGAGTCCTTCGGCAGGCCAAACACAAATCCATACTCATGGACTGCCATCACCCGGAGGGTATCGGTAAATTGGCCAGCAGGCGCCGAATTCGGAGAGGATTTCACCTTCTGACACGTCTTACACGTGCACTCATATGTGCTCATCCACTTGTACAGCTTAGGCTACCAATAGTGGCAACTCACTGAGCTGTACGTTCTCTCACGAACACTAGGTTAGGTTTCGTGGGCCTCATAGAGAATACGGTACTTCAAACTTCATCGTGAGTAACCGCAATTCGTTGTGTATCCGTTGAATCGGAGCTATAATACAGCGATCCGTTACTCAACGAATACAGGGGTAACCATGCGCGCAAACGCGCCGACAATTTCTTGTCCGAGTTTCGAAACTCCTTGCTCCAAATACCCTGTAGCAGCGCTACACACATACTATCACCCGCGTATGCGGCGCGGAACAAATCCGTCACTGACGACATCACCGTCATGATATAAGCAAGCTGATAGTCCGGTCTGCGTGACATCGCATCAGTCAAAGCATTCTGCTTTTCTGGCTTAAACTTCACCTCGAAGCTATATTCTGCAAGGAATGAGAGTCAGCTGGCATCCTCTGCAAGAGGTGAGGCGACCGAGTCACTGTTTGTGCTCACAAAGACTTTGAGCCAAACAGGTGCACCCTTAAATTGACAATTGCATACTTCATCGCAAAACATTCCTTGTCGTGGACTGGGTAGATCCTCTCCGCAGCGTTAAGCATACAAGATCCGTACGCGATCACCCGATCTCGGCTCTCGGTGTCTGCATCCAGCAGTGTACAGCCGATGGAAAAGTTCTAAGCGTCACAAACGACACTTAAAGGACGATCGGGGTCTGACAACGCCAGTATTAGTGTATGAAGGAGGCTGTCCGATGGTCGGTGTTCCAACACCATTCCTTCTCCTTAAAGGAGATTAGACAATGGCTGTGCCATTTCCGCATGATTTGCGCAAGTCCTTTTGGTTCTTTGAAACCGGTCAGTCCACAGTGGTCTTGACCTTGGCGGGGTCCGATCGAAGGCTAGGCTTCCCGATAAAGCACCATAAAAGTGAATTTCTTCAGCGCTGAAGATGCACTTGTCTGCATTAGCATACAGCTTATTCGTGCGCATGCACTGATCTCGAATGGACGATGTGGCGTTCCTAATCTGTCCTCCTGATCCCCGCACGAAGATGCCGTCGAAGTATCTCTGTGCATTCGCCCGATGGGCCTACAATTGCGTCACAAGTCGATATATTGTGGTGCATTTGACAGCCCTTGGGGCATTACCAGCCACCCCCAGAGCATGCCGCTCAGAGTGCTCACCGCTTTCAGCGAGATATCATTTGCTTTCATAAGCAATTGGTGATGATCATCGACCAAGTCGAGTGCGCTGCACTTGGTACAGCCAACTATATTGTTCTGGAGAATATCCTTTCAATGAATCGGCGTATATGCCGGAGTGGTGGCAGCATTGAGCTTATTATAAGCGTGAACGATACGTCACTTGCCGTTCGGCTTCCGGACACAAAACGTGGGTGTCGAA